AGATAGGTGTGTGACTCGCTTATCTATATAACTTGCTTATTAACTACGTTATTTATAAAAAATATATAATAAAAGTCTTTATAAAATATACTTTCTTTTAATACTAGACTTTTAATTATTTAAGTTATAAATTATATAGCAGTTATCTTAAGGTATAGTAATATAGTTTTAATAGTAAGGTATATTAACCTAAAAGTGCTTTAGTATAAAAAAGTAATATTATAAAAATCGGTCCTAATGGTGCCCCGTAAGCGAATGCAGTATTATGGTGGATTTCTTTCTGGTCAGCAGCAGTCACCATCCTCGCGGGCAGAGCACGCAGTGCACTAGGTAGCTTAAGCTGCATAGGTGGTGTAGCGTAAGTCATACATTGATAACTCTACCTTGTCAAGGGCGCTCTCATGGCCGTTGGTAATTTATTGCGATGCGAGCAAGGGTCGCAATAGCAGCAACAGCGTGGAATTATTAAAAATTAATTAAGAATACTGCTATATAATATAAAGTAAAAGAATTAATCCATGCGGAGTTATATATATTCTTTAAGATAGTAAATATATTTAGATGGCTTTTTTATTAACTATGTTCTCTTCCTATACCTAGTAGTATATTCCTAGACAGATCTCAAATATCACTACCGACGAATCCATGTTTTCTGATCCGTGGCCCGGTCAATTTTGGCAGAACATAATACATCTGCAATCCTTACCACCATCTTCAGCACTGACAGCCTCCATTTCCAGCTCATTGTCAGAGTCACGCAGAATGCACTCGTCAACTTCTGCCACCACAATCGGTTCAGCGTCTACCCTCCCCTTCTCCTCTTCATTCAAGAAGGAAGCAGGTGATCTATAGACAGTGATATCCACCGCCTTATGGAACCAGCCTTTGTGGGTAATCATGTGCAGTTGGTATGCAAACACGATGTCTTGTCCACTGCGATGTTTTTGATCCAGCCCCTTCTTATGATGATATGACACATCCATCCCTACCTCAACGTCATCCGCAATCGGGGCTCCCGGCTTGCCGGCAGCATCACTCTGGGACTCGATTAAGCGAGAAACTGTAAATCCCCGAGCGATCTTCAGTCCAGTGATCATAAAAACAGGCTTCTTTCCCAAGAGGCCGGAATTTATAGCTGCGCTGACATCATTACTACTCTCAATGCGCTTGGCAGCTTCTGTATCTGTCGGCTGCTTCTTGAAGTAGACAGTCTCCAGCCGTCGGACCGTGTATTTAGTCAGCAGCTCGTCACTCTTGCCGCCGTCAATCTTAGCAGTGGCTTTCTCGAGAAAATTCGCCCAGATGCTGCCGCGAAGAGAGAAACTGTTCTGGCTGCTCAGTTCATTGTCGTAGTCAAAGTGGCTCTCGGTCTTCCCAGAGATTTCAGCATCCGGGACACTGCTTAGCGGTTTGGTGGGATCATCAGGATACTGCACGATATCGCCGATACAAATGGACGTATTAGGGTGGTAACTGAAGTTTGGAGCCAAGATGTATGTTGCGATGTTGGCCATAGCTGTTCAGAAGGGAATCTTATCGAATTCATAGGGAATCAGTCAGGTTGCTCACGCTGCTGATAACTTCGCTCTGTTTGTTGCCCGAAGCGGGGTTGGGCAGGCAGACTGCAGCTGAACATCAGTGCTCCAATCAAGAGGAAGATCAATCACAAGATGCGGGGTATCTTCCCAGTGTAGCCCGCCGGCAAACGATATAGTGCCGCGTGTCTTACACCTTGGAGACCACGCAGAGCGAGATCTATCAACTTCACGAGTGAGTGCGCGGCGGCAACAACACAATCTGGTGTCGCTACCACCTCATCCAGCCATCAGAGACCATATCTACCAGCCTTCAAGGTGATATCGAGCCTTGTCGAGCCGCCATACCGGAGCTGTCTCCCAAATCTACATAACCCCACTTCGAAGTCAACCATCCAGGCATCGTTAGCCCGTCATGGGGCACCTTTGCCGTGCAGAGCTCGTTCAGTGTGCATCAGAAAAGATCTCCGAGGTTGCCTGTGAACACTTGAAAGAGTTTCGGCTTGGAAAGAACCCTAAATCTCTTGAACTTGTCCGGAACCTGGGTAAACTGGCTGGTGTTCTAGCGTTTGTGTCGATTGATCACCAAAAAAAAGCTGATGGGGAGCACGAAGACCAAAGAGATAGGATCGTTAGATGGGAGCATTTATTAGGCTTATTGGAAATGATCTGCACGGTTTGAGTCCATTATAACCTCGTATTCATTACAGATATATACTAATTCGCCTCTCAAGTTTCCCAAAAACAATTTATCCGAGTCAAGCCAACGAAACGAGCTGTCTGCCCGCTTTCCAACGCTCAACACGCTGATTACAGGGCCAAATACACCTCCAAAAGTTGTTCAGAGTGTGAAGAGGTTTGCGTCAAGCTCAAGTTTGAATAAGCCATATTTTGATTTTCTCACGAGCCTCCAAGGGATTCAACATCAGACCAAGAAAGGTGCAGCGTCGGCTCTGCAAGCCACGAAGAAACCACTAGAAGGTGGAGATGCGGAGAAAAAGACATCAGTTGAAGATCCGAGCTACCCAAAGCATGTTTATGACACGTTATATAAGGTTATCCGAAAATATGGTGACTGCTGCTGTGGGCCGCCCAATCAATCCATGGAGCCGCGGAAAAGGCATTGGGGAAGACTTGAGCTTGGGGACACTATGAGCACAGCCGACAACGATGTTCTTTTTCACACAGTCTTCTCGAAGGAAGGTTCGGTTCGATTCGAAAAGATCAAGTGGCAACACTTGCAGTTTCGTGTTCCGAGGCAGGTTTCGCCGTCAGGTTCAAGGCAGGATTTGCTGACCTAGAGCCACCAGGAAGCAATATAAAAAACGTCAACTACATTTCGACAATAACACAGACGGCAACGACATTGCAGTCTCAAAGCACGACAATGACACCCAGCCCCTACCGATATCAGATTGTACCACAATGCTTACGTCTGCGTCTGAGTTCTGTGAGCTTCTTCGCAACGATATCGGCTCAGTGAGCATGGTCGTTCGTATTGTTAACGAAATGATTTTCGACCTTGATCGCGCGGAGGATATCGAAGTTGACGTCGCAGATGAAAGAAGCATTCCGCTTGTTGAAGTGCTTGAACGAAATTGCTTGGGGCCTCAGAGCAAGCTGCTCCTCGCCTATACTCTAGCCAAATCTGTTTGGCAATTCTATGATTCAGACTTTATGCGCATTTATTGGACAACAGAATCTATCCATCTCTTTGAAGAGAAGGAGAGAGAAGAAGAAGACGATGATGAGAGTGAAAACGATGAGGGTGGTCGTGAGCGCAGTGTTGACTGGGCACCCTACTACGCCTTCCCATTCGAAGATATGAGGGAGGTAGAAACTGTGGAGCGACTGCCACTGGGAAAATTCATCCATCGATATCCTCATGTACTTGCGCTCGGCCTCTTACTGTACGAGCTCGGTCTGAAGAGACGCTCCAAGAAGCGAATTAAACCCGGCGAGCCGGCAACTACCCCAGAGAAGAGAATCAATGACAATGCGAAACGAATTCGTACAGGAGTTACAAGCGATAAATGGCCCAATATCGGTTTGAAGCATCCCGAGTCGTTAGAAAAATATCGCATTATCGTCGCAAACTGTGCCAGTGAGAGCGTCTTTAGGCCACCAACAACCGAAGATGCAACGAAAACACCCCTCCAAATGGAGGAGGAGCTTCATATTGAGGAGAGACGTGCAATGCTTTATAGAAAAGTCGTCGTACCGCTTAAGGAGCTGCTTCGAGATGCTGGTTGGATCAACGAGTCCGGCAATATCGCACGTCAGTTGGTTAAGGGCGATAACGCGATGTCCAAGAAATGTCATATATCAAAAGACTCAGTGTCAGAAACACTACTCGCGAATACATCTCAATCTTTTGAAGTCGCCCCAAATGGGATTCAACAAGCCTCAACAGTCTCAATGTTCGTCCTTGACTGGCAGGCGCTGTCTGCCCATCCACTTTGTTTGATATATCTAGCTAACATATTCTACCAAAAGGAAGGCTGAAGCATGGCTAGAGAATATTAAGCGCAGCTCTCTTGCCAAAGAGTTACACAGTCAGTTCCAAAACAACGGAGTGCTCGCAAGCAAAAGAATCCGCATCGCTGTCTTAGACACCGGCTATGACCCCGATGCCATATTCTTTAACAGGGAGCGAAAGAAACGACTCAAGGGCTGGAGAGACTTTACTGTGAAGGCCCAGCCCGTAGGAAAGGATGAGGATGGACACGGAACACACGTCTTGTCAGTGCTGATGCAAGTGGCAGCGACTGCTGACATTTACGTTGCTCGTGTAGCACGAGATACATCTGAATTGCAATATTCTACCCAAAATGTTGCCAACGTAAGTCGTTGTTTGCACTTTGGCCCGTTGCCTCATCACATTCCATAATAGATGTCGCATATGATGTACGCAGGCAGACATCGGCTAACCAAGGCCAAGGCTATCGAGTGGGCATGGAAGTGCTGCGGGGCCAACATCATCTCCATGTCGTTTGGCTTTGACGATGAGATTTATGTTGATGACAAGCCAGTTATAAGTAACGCTATATATAAGGCGCTCCAGAAAACAAACCAACAAATTCTCTTCTTTGCTGCAGCGGCCAACGACGGTGGTAACAGGCCAGAGATGTTCCCGGCAAACAGCCCACAAGTTTTCTCTATCCGTGGGAGCGACGATACCGGCTGGCAGCAGCCTTTCAACCCCCCACCGGACTACGACGCCAGTACATGCTTCATGACACTGGGAAAGGATGTTCCAGGAGCATCTCTCAGCGCCAGCAAACACAAGGGCGCAAACGTGTGCAAGTCCGGGACCTCGGTGGCGACGCCGATCGCTGCCGGCATCGCCGCAATACTGCTGGGATACGCACGGATACATGAGAAGGAACTATGCCAGAGTTTACAGTTTCAACACGACATAATGCTATTAAGCCTGTGGAAAATGAGCGGGATGAGAGAAATGTTCAAGAACATTGCAACGACGATGGTCGACAAGTGGGCATATCTAAGCTTGTCCAAGTTTATTAAGCAGTCTCAAGGAGTAAGGTTGTCTAATATTATAGTTGCAGTAACCAATACTCCTAGCTCAAAAACTCAACAGTTAGCATAGGTTTAGCAGCCTAAGTAATAGAAATAAGTTTATTTATTTATATTTTTAAGTTTATTTTTTTATTAATATACTTTTAGTTACCTTTATTTTTATTTATTTTATTATAATTAATTCTATATTTTTAACTTTTTTTTAGTATATTATCTTATAATCTTTATTATTTTTTTCTTATTAGCTTCTTTTAATTTAAACTAATTCTTTTAATATATTTTATTTAACTTTTTAGTCTTTAAGTTTATTAGATTTTAAAAACTATAAATAATAAAATATATTTTATTTTATATATTAATAATAGTTAAACTACTTAAGATAAAAAAGATTATTATATAAAAAAGTATTATTAAATAATTTTTTAAAAAGTATTTTATTTAATATTTTACTTTATATTAGTTATATAATATTAATGTGAGTGGATTGTATATAGTGAGTGGGCGGAGAGGATGAGGCTGAGATGACAGCGTCGTTTCTATCTTAACTGCCATTAAAAACTAAAAGACTGCGAATTGCGACTTTTTCAAAACCTCGTCGGCACAATAACTGTCGGCCACGATGAACAGGAAATTCAGCCACGATGATAACGCTGATACACTCGGGAGCAACGCCAGCCTTGTTCAAGAGACCAAGCACAGCACAAAGCGTCTTGCCGGTTGCCAATACATCATCCACCACCACCACGGATTTGCATTTGCAGAGTATGCCTTCATCTGCCTCAATTCTCGTATCTATCGCGGCATTGGATGACGCCGATGATATATGCGATGAGGACTTGTCTGCGGAAACCGTGGGTGGGGGGAGCTTGCCAGCTTTACGTATAGGCACCAACGGCTTGATGACACTGATGGCCAACGCCGACGCAAAGATAAGCCCGCCGGTCTCGCAGCCCGCAATGGCATCAATGCCATTCCAGTTGCCAGGGAAATGAGTACGTAGGAGAGCTGTGCACAATCCCAAGCCGCCCGGCTGTTGTACAATGTTGAGCACGTGGCGGAAGCAGATGCCTGAACGTGGGAAGCCTGGGATAGGGGGCACCATATTCTCTAGCCGTCGCAAGTCACTGTGCAGAAATGGAAAAAGAGAGCGCTCCGCGAATTGTCTCGCCGCCTCGTTTCCAGTCTCTTCATTGTCGAAGCTGAGAGTGGGAACATATCCATCTTTGGCAGTATCTGCATCATCGCCCAATAAACCTCTGCGCGCCTGCCGAGTTTCTGTGCTCGCGGTAACACGGACATCAATTAGTCGAGCATGCGCCACTAAATATGATAACCCTGCGACCGGATTCTCTTCTCTCATTCCGGTGATGAAAAGCACGCCCACATCTCCTGCATCATGAACTAGGCTTAGAAAATTATCTTCTTTGAGCATAGGTTGTTGATACAATTGTTCTTGGAAAAACCTTGTCAGGGCTGGCCGGTGCTCTTCTTTGTACGCACGGTCGTGAAGCATGCGGGCAAGGTCCGCCCCGGTCGCTGCAGTGTATTGTGCCTTCGTTGCGTCGCTAATACTAACAACCCGCACCCGCAGATCTTCATGATGCTTCGTGAACTCGGAGGCCAAGACTTTGGCGCAGTAGTCCTTACCGACGCCGGTATCGCCAGTGATAAGAACTATAAGCCGCTGCTGCGATGCAGGCTGGGGAAGGGGGCAAGTAAAAGATAGGACATTGTGTGGATCTTGGATGCGTTTTAGATGAGATAGACGCAGCCGATTTGGTCCAAACGCGTGCATTGCTAATTCTTTGTCTCTCGGGTCCGGCCCGAGATCTGCGCTGTACGCTCCGGTACTAAAGGGTTGCAATTTCTTCGCAACATCGTAAACCCAATTCACCGCAGCGCGAGCAGTAACAGAGCCATCTTGATCACGGGGCCAGACACCCGTAATAACGCACGCAAAGGTCCAGTTTCGGCACCCAAAAGCAGTGGCGGTGGCTGCCACTTGGGATATTGCTCCACCACCATGCAGTAGATGCAGATAACATTGCGGCGAGGGGCGATCTTCAACAGCTGATATCAATAAATTTGCCACAGCTAAGCTTCCTATGCCATCCAAGAATATGCATCTCTTGAATGAAGACGTCTTGCCTCCGCCATGTCCACCATGCATACAGGAAATGTACATCTCGGTGTCGTACAGACCAATAGCATCCACAGTCTTGCTGCTATTCTCAGGCCCCAGAAAGACGGTCATAGCCGATGGGCTCCCGGCGAAAGACTCAGTGTCGTGCCCGGCTATGGCGCACTCAGACATGCTAACGGCAACATGCAGTCCCTCAGAGTCGCAGTAGAGGTATGCATCAGCAGAGGTTTGGCGTGGAAGCTCGCGAGCGAGTGCGTCGATATCCACGAGTCTTTGCTGCGCCTCTTGTCGGTCGCTCAGCGGGGACACCCACTGTCGAAATGAGTAGACCATGGCAGGGTAAGCTTTGAACACAACACTGGTCACTACACCAAAGTTCGTTCCTGCGCCTTTCAGTGCCCACAGAAGGTCAGCTTCATTCTCTGGCTGGATGGCATCATTCGGCTGATGTTGAGAAGGCACGGTGCCAATGACCAACACCTGGCCGCTTTCAACACTGACCATCACCGCTCCGACGATGGCGTCGCAGGCAAGCCCATGCAGTCTAGATAAATGACCGATGCCTCCCTGCAGCCATAGGCCCGCACCCACGCTGGGCCGCGACCCCAAGGGTACGGTCAGTCCTGCTGCCATAGCTTTTTTAATGACGGTGTCACTCCTGCAACCAGCTCCTGCAACTATCAGGCTTGGGCCGACTTTTTCATTCTCTTTCATCCGGAGGACATCGACTTTGTCAAATGCAGCCATGTCAACCGAGACTATATTCGGTTGCAGGCAGTGACCACTGTGGCCACCGCCGATGATGGTGAGACTTAGCTTGTGCTCCAGAGCCCAGCGAACGCATTTCTGAACTTGAGATAGTTCTGTAGGTCTGACGACGAACGCAGTCGGGTGCCGAGGTCTTTTCACTCGAATCCCCTCAGCCAATGGAACCTCGGCTGTCAGCTCTCCTAAAGTGGTTGCATGTCGGGTGAATGCCATCATGATGTTGGGAGCGCCAAAGAATAGATGGCCTGTATGACTTTTCTCCTGGTCGCACAAGGCGCGGCAGACGTTTCGCCATCCTTGTAGGGTGGCATTCTGGGAGTCGGTTTGCTGGGGCGCAAAGCCCGCAATAAATGTAGCAAAGTTGTCCAGATGTTCGTCTTCATCTGGCACAGACACAGCGCTGGAGGGGAATGAAGCCGTATGAAGGCAGACCAAACCGTTAATATCCAGACTTGTGTCTCGATGAAAGACTATGACCATGGCACCGTCGACACGCTCAGCTAGCAGTGCCAGTGCGCGGTCTATGAACTTGCGTTTTGGACTCATGCCATACATACTGTGGCAAAAGAGAACAATATCGAACTTTTGTTCATCCCCCAGGCCATCTTCGTTCGAGTCGTCCGTAGTTCTGTGCCCTATATCGAATCGCTCCACACGAATTTGAGGTGGCTCTTGAAGGCAAGGGAGAGGAAGTTCCGTGTCTGGAGTGGCACAGAGAGAATCCCTGAGTGACGCAGCAAACGATATGTTCCGCTCACATGCTGAGTATCTGCCAATTCTCTGTCTCATGTAGGCAGGCAGATGCCCCAAAACGGTCTGAGGTCCGGGTCCGATCTCTAGAACTGAAATCACGCTTTTCGACTTCAAAACGTGTTCAAGAAGACGCATGAGCTGAGGGATAATGAATGATTGATAAACTGATTGTCCTGGACCGTACAACAAGGTTTCAAATCCAGCGCCATACTGTGCGTCAGACAATGTTTGCCTCGAGGCGAACGGTAAGGTTGCTGAGACACTCTTCCGGAGCGCTTCCTTCAACTCATCCAGGGTCGCCATTCTCAACGTTTCAATAATAACTTGTTATACTTTGTCTGATCAGCGAATGTGAGAACTTTTCTTGAGAAGCGGAAAAAATACAAAGTGCAACGATGAGAAAAGCGTGATGCTAGAACCTTGGGGGTTATATAGGCAACTTTGGAGTGAAAAGCCTGATATTCGGCTGGCGACATAGATTGACCGGTCGGGCCGTGTAACTCACTTCGCATCATTTTATTCATGCATGTTGCCTATTTAATCCTAATCAGGGATTTCTTAGCGAAGTGACGGTGTATCCTTGACTCATCGGAAAGCACTTGCTACTTTGCACTACCTGGCCAAGTTATCACAGTACATGACAAAGTATATTAGCCCGCGAGGGGCCCCGGCCTCTTAAATTGGCCTTGAACGTTCTTTTCACGCAACTAGCAAATTCGGTTGGGTTCAAGACGTGTTGTAACAGAGTTGCTTCGAGGAGAGGCTGTGAGAAGACTACATCTACACCTACGAAGAAGCCCTGGCACTATCAAAGTCTATCTTACGCCAGACAACGACATGGCTGCACCTAAACCACATTGCAGCAAGTTATCTACCATGGATCTTCGGGCTACAGAAACAGGTGATACGGAAGATGTTGCTACTGCGGAACATGGGTCAAACATTCAAAATATCTCAAGCGCCATGAAGTTGGTCCTTGAAACTCTGGGAGAGGACACAAGCCGCGATGGGCTTCGCAAGACCCCAGAACGATTTGCCAAAGCCATCGTTTCTTTGACCAGCGGCTACAATCTGAACCCAGTCAATATTCTCAAAGACGCTATATTCGAAGAGGATTGTCATGACTTAGTTGTTGTTAAGGACATTTCATTTTCCAGCTTGTGTGAACATCACCTGCTTCCGTTCTTTGGCAAGGTAAGCGCTGACCAACTGAGCTGTAATCTTCTGCAATTTCTGACCATCGACTAGGCTCATATCGGATACATACCCAATGGCAGAGTTGTCGGCTTGTCCAAGCCAGCGCGAGTCGTCAACGTCTTTGCAAAGAGGCTTCAGCTACAAGAGCGCCTCACAAAGCAGGTGGCACAATGCCTTTTCGACGTTGTTCAGCCTAGAGGTGTGGCTGTGGCGATTGAGTCGACTCACATGTGCATGGCCATGCGAGGCGTTGAGAAAATAGGCTCATCGACCATGACGACCTGCTTTCTAGGAGAGTTTGAGAAAGTTAGGGATGCCAGAGAAGAGTTTTGGAGGGCTCTTGGCAAATAGTCACAGTCAAATTGACTTATTTCAAACAAGGTCATATCGTTTCAAAGATAAAATAGCGACACAAGACAAGGCTCATATCTGCTTGGCTTAGTAGTTGGTGCTTGCGCCCAGTATTAGAGTAGATGGTACTCCGTAGTGATGGATCGCAGAAATGCGGCTTAATGGAAAGACATTGAAAGGCTGAATGAAGACTACGCTTGGGCTTCTCGGACACACAAACAGCAGCGTCAAGGTCGATGTTGGTGCTCTCGTGCCAAATTGATGGCCTTGTCGTCGGATTTATCTTGTCGTTCTATAATCCGTACTGGTAAAGAGACGGTACGTATACATTTGCTTGATACTCCGAAGGTAGAAAATATTTAGATGGGCTGTCTCGAGGGCAAGGCAAAGGCGCTTTTTCAGGTGTCAGCTTCGCGCCGTGCCGTGCCGTACAGGGATTGTCAATGGCCGCAGGTGCGAATAAGAGGCTGGCCAGCCCGTGGCTGGCGCGTGTTTAATTACCAGTACATATTATGTCTTAAATGTATTGCATGTTTTGTCTATCTACGACTCCTATTTGCGCCGCCTTCTCCGCTCTCATGCAGAAAGACTGCAAGGCAGCTCGGGTTAGCCGTCCTTGACCAGCCTTCCCCTCTTCCTGGGCGCTTAAGATGTCGAGGAATTTTGAACTTTCCAAGTATTTTCTCTTGAAGTCAAGTCGTAACAACCATCTAAAGTCCATTGTCTTCTAAAATCATCGCGGTGCCATGGAAACTCCTCGAGGGGGTTGCGCAAAATGTGGCCTGCCAGTGATCTGGCTTTGGGGCCAGAGTGAGTCCGGAAGCTTCAACGTCGATATACGACGGGCGCTAATTAACGGCACCAAAGACGGAGCACGACGCCTCATTCGACAGCCATTATCGGCGCTCGATTTAGAACAACATGATGAATGCTTTGCACTCGTGTATGTGAACCGAAAGAGTGGTGCACAGAAGCCCAGCTAACCGCTTGGAAGGTTTGTGGAGGCAAACAACATCTCTCAATGCAAAGTCTGCAAATTAGAGCTGGCCGAAAGGTTCTCCGTCCCAACCTTTTGGTGGGAAAATTATTGCAAGTCGCACAATGGTTATTTTGGCTCGCAAGATATCATGACTGATGGGAACACCAATGCGGGCCTTGGTGAGTCGCACAGGTTGTAACGAGAACAAGGCTGAATCAGGCTAACTGGAGAAAGTGACCTGGGCACGCTTCCTCATCAAGTTTGTAGAACCGGAGAATAAGTACACATGGACGAAATTAAACATCATGACGTACGCTCGCGCCACAAATAACCAGATTATGCTGGTTTTTGATGCTGAGCCCAAGACCCAAACCACGCTTCTCGACTCACTCATGCCCCCGAAGCGAAACGACGAATTAACAGATCCGTTCTGGATTTATTATCGAGTCTTGAACGACGTGATTTCCATCCATGATAAATCTATTTGGGTTTTGAGGGATCGAGTCCGGGACATTGAGAAGTCATACCCCAACACAGGTTCTAGTGACGACTCGATGGGTAAGGGAGACGGCGAACGGTCAAAACCAAACTATCGTGTACTTCACGATCTTGCTAGACACGCTATCCACGTTGCGGAAACCACCTCAGTCACGGTCAATGTGATTAGAGGAATTCATGCTGCGCATATGGAGTATTTGAGCAGTCAATCTGCAGAAGGGCTTGCAAATCTCCGTGCAAAGAGCATCCAGAAGCGTGTCCGGGATCAGCTCCTGCTATACGACCAACTTGCAGTTGGCCTGCAAAACAGGGCAGAAGCAGTCAAAGACAGGCTACACAACGAGATTCAACTCTCATTCAACACTGTTACTCAAGAAGACGCGGCTACCACGATTCAAATCAGTCTCATTGCCCAGACCGATAGCAGAGTTATGAGGATGATTGCGTACCTTACCCTGGCATTTTTGCCAGCGACATTTGTTTCGGCAATTTTCAGCACCTCCTTCTTCAATTACAACCCTGAGCATCAGAAATATAGTGTTTCCAAGATGTTTTGGGTGTACTGGGTGTTTGCGGCACTAGTGACAGTGGGCATGTTTTACATGTTTCGCCGCTGGGGGCCGTCCCAGAAAAGGACAGCGCTCACTAGATGATACTTTCGATTTTATCTGAAATACGGGCGTGTTCGGTTTTACTAATTTCAAGACGAGCTTTTATTTTTTTTTCTTCTAAAAAAAAAGAATTCATCTACTTGTCGACCTGCTCCGTTGTTATAGTCTACCCACACGATTTACTGTATTCCTCTCTCTGTACATGTGCCCGTACCGCCTGTAGCATGGGTCACTAATGCTCGACCATGGAAAATACGTTGGTGCAGCGCAGACACACACAATTGATAAAGACTGGTAAGGCAGGAGCTCCTGAGAGACGAACGTATTGGCAACGCAAGGAAAGACGAAAAAAAAAATATGTAATTATTTCTCCTCTGGCCTTATGAGTTCGGCTTCCGCGGCGTGTAAATTCGAATTAGGACCGCAAGAGGCAATGAATGCTAGATAGAAAACAAAACCCGACACACCCTCAGAACTGGTTTTTACTCAAAGCTTGAGCTTTCCTATATATATTTTAGATTTTCTCCCCTATACGGTGGCATAAACGCAACCCGTCCACTTCATAAGCCGACAACCGCCAGCACCAGCCACATGGCTGACCTGTACGGACGACGGAGTACTGCCAAGGTAGCAGCAGATAGCCCCGCTTTCAGTGGCTTACGTGCCTATCACTTCGACAAGGATGACGAGGAGGTCGCGACATCATCGATCGCAAGCTTCTTCTGGCCTCACGTCGGCACCTTTTTCTGCAGCTCTCGACTTGCGGCTCTCCTTCATCAATTTGATTGTTGTCAAGTTAACCCTGTGCTCGTCTGCTGGTACAATCGCAGGGGTCCTTCCTTCAGTACCAGCCGACGGCGTGTTTCCCCAGCCGCTCGCCGTATCCTGCGACACGACCTTCGACTTTGACTCCCCGGAAATTCGACCGGCAAGCAGCCGTTTTCTGCATCGCACCTAACAATGTCCCTCTTTGGAACATCGCCTATCGAGGAAAACGCTCCCTCGACGCCTAACCGATCACGTGGCGGGGGGGGAGCAGCCCTCTTCGACAACGACACCGTCCCATCGCTTGGTAGCGGCGGCCTGTTCGTCAATGATGAGCACCATGGCGCGGGAGGCCATGGCAATGATGCTGACTCGCCATGGGATATGCCCACACCGCGCAAACATCAGAGTCGTTCTGAGCTGATCCGCAACCTACTACCGGCGTCGGACGTGCCCGAAAGCTACATCACGACATTTGACGCTGTTCTGCGCCAACATGGCGACGCGGCCGGTAGAGTCACAGCCGCTGGCATCGCCGATGTCTTTGCCACGGCACGTATCGATGCGGATGCCCAGGCGAGCATCATGGCCTTGCTTGCGGCCGGCGGCAATGCCTCGGACCTGACGCTCGGTCGCGGCGAGTTCAATGTCCTACTGGCGCTTGCCGGCCTGGCGCAGGAAGGCGACATCATAAGCCTCGACGGGGTCGACGAGCGCCGAACAAGTAAGTTTTTTACTACTTTACTGCTTTTCCCCTTCAATTATTGCTTCTATTTGCGAATCTTGACCTTTTCCTTCCTCTGCCGCTCTACAATTGCGTTATTGTCTCGGCTCCGTACCTACCTACCCTTGTAATACCATACCCCCAGCCCGCACCCCAGTGGACCACGTCAAAGGCTAATGTCCAATTTCGCCAGACCTTCCCCGGCCCAAACTGGCCGGCCTGACCGCCGAACCCGTCTTACCACCCATCGCCGAGCTCGCCGCAAAGCCTCCTCAGACGCCTGTTGCCCCTGTCGCCATCAACAAAGCTCCCAAGATTCCCGAGCAGCACCAGGCAGTCCTCCGGACCGCCATGGACGATCCGGAAGACGACCCATGGAACACCCCCGACATGCACAAGGGCCACGCCCACACGAGGCAGAATGGCACAGGCAGTGCTGTATCCAATGGTCACTCAGGTTTCGGGACTTCACCCGCGGCTCTGCCGGCGCCTCAAACTCCATCTGAACCCTACTCCGCTCCGACTCGCATCAACACAAATTCGGGTCTCCGACCAAGCAGCGGAATCGCCGGCCCGGATGGCTGGGGTTCCGGCTTCTATGCTAATCCGCAAACGCCAACCGCCGGACCAAGCAGTTCTAACCCATTCGACAGTGACGGCGCAGGTCCTGCATCAGCCGCGCCTGGTGCTGTACCGCCTCTGCCAGAGTCTAGCCGCACCACCACCGCTCGGGCCGGGGGCACCATCGAGGAGAATGTTATAGTCACCTTAATGCCAGGCAAAGAGGGCATCTTCATGTTTCAACACCACAACTACGAGGTTACCAGCCAAAGACGAGGAAGCAAAGTCATCCGCCGATACAGTGACTTTGTCTGGCTGCTCGACTGTCTGCACAAGCGCTACCCCTTTCGCGTACTTCCTCTGCTGCCACCAAAGAGGGTTGCTGTCAACGGCAACCATTTCTCCAACGACGGCTCATTCATCGAGAAGCGAAGAAGAGGTCTAAGCCGTTTCATCAATGCCCTCGTTAGGCATCCCGTCCTCAGCCAGGAACAGCTTGTCGTCATGTTTCTGACTGTCCCGACTGAGCTCGCTGTTTGGCGTAAACAAGCCACGATTTCCGTCCAGGACGAGTTTGCCGACAAGCCATTACCCCCAGGTCTCGAAGATTCTCTTCCGCCCGCTCTCGAAGACCTTTTCTTAAAGACGAGGTCTGGTGTGATCCGCTCGGCCGAACTCTATATCAATGTGTGCAACATTATGGATCGTCTAGTGAAGCGCACCGAAGGCGTCGCTGCCGACCACGCTCGTGTCGCCATGTCTCTCGCGTCTCTTACCGAAACATCTGCCGATACATATGCTACTGACACCAACGAAGTACCACTACTGAATGACGGTCTCACTGCTATGAGCAGGCATTTGCGAACTTGTCAGTCGCTGCTCGAGGACGAGAGCAAGGGCTGGGATGAAGGCGTGCTTGAGGATTTGAAGCGCCAGCGTGACGCCCTCGTCAGCGTACGGGAGTTGTTTGAACGTCGCGACAGGCTGGACAAGGATAACATACCCAATCTGGAACGCCGTATTCAAGCCAACGAAACCAAGCTGGCGACTCTACGTGGGAAGCCCGAAGGCGCTGTCAAGCCCGGTGAGATTGATCGGGTTGCTGAGAACATCATCAAGGTATATTGTGGTAATGCCAACCCTGTCAGCCGCTCGCCTGCTAACGATTCATGCAGGACAAAGAATCCATCGTCCAGCAACATAATCGATCCATCTTTGTCAAGGAGTCTATTCGTGACGAACTCATCACGTTTCAGCAAACGCAGTACCACGTCAGTCGCTGGAACCAGGACTGGGCAGGGGAGCGTGTCAAGTATGCCGAGATGCTGGCTGACAACTGGCGGCGGCTACTGGACCAGCTTGAAGGCATGCCTCTGGGTTACTAATAGCGTTGAGGGCGCGCAACGGTCAGGTATCTCACACATATACACGATTGTCACTGTACTTTTGTATTTAACTATGCACTGTTTTTTTCTCTAGCCTGCTTTGAGATGCTGTCACCATGAATAGCGAGCAAATAATAGCCCCAGTTTTGGCTTGTCGTCGTAATTTGACTGCGCGTGTGTGTCTGCAGTAGTTGGCCTGCTCCAGTCTCGTGATGTTTGTCAATCCACGTTGTATCTGTACTAGGCACACTTGAAGGTATACATTCACCATCCGTCCGTCACCGCACCATGGCTGGCGTCGCCCACTAAGCGCGCATACTTGGCCAGGGTGCCCCTCTTGACCCTCGGCTCCGGTGGCGTCCACCTCGACCGCCTAGCATCCATTGCCTCGTCCGAAACGGCAACATCAATACGATTTGTCTCGGCATCAATTGTCATCTCGTCGCCGTTCTCAACCAGCGCAATCGGTCCGCCGACGGCTGCTTCAGGCACCACATGTCCCACGATGAAGCCATGAGACGCACCACTATAACGCCCATCCGTGACGAGCGCCACATTCGTCAGTCCCGCACCCATAATGGCCGCCGAGGCGCGCAACTGCTCGGGCATACCGGGACCGCCCTTGGGGCCCTCGTAGCGCACCACAATGACGAGATTGCCGTCTTCGGCCTTGATTTCGCCGAGGCTCAGCGCCGTGTTGAGATCGCGCTCGCAATCGTAGACGCGAGCGCGGCCGGTGAAGCGCAGGCCTTCCTTGCCAGTAATCTTGGCGACGGCGCCGCCCGGGGCAAAGTTACCGCGGAGGATACGGATGTGGCCGCTAGGCTTGATGGGGTCGTCCAGAGGGCGTATAATTTTCTGGCCGGGGTCGAGTGACGGCCAGTCGGCCACATTCTCGACGAGCGTTTTGCCTGTGACGGTCATGACGGTCCCGTCAATGATTCGGCTGGCGATGAGCATCTTGAGCACAGACGGCGTGCCGCCGACCTTGTGCAAGTCCTCCATCAGATACCGGCCGCTAGGAGCAAGGTCCGCTAGGTAAGGCGTGCGGTCGCTCGCGCGCTGGACATCGTCAATGGAGAGGGGCACGCCAGCCGTGTTGGCCATGGCGAGGAAGTGCAGCACGCCGTTGGTGGAGCCGCCGAGGATCATGGTGAGAACGAGCGCGTTCTCAAACGCAGCGCGGCTCAAGAGGTCGCGCGGACGAATGTCCTTGGCCATGGTTGTCTTGATGACCTCGGCAGCGCGCTCGCACTCACGCGACTTTTCCGGCGACAGCGCCGGATACGACGATGAACCCGGCAAGGTGAGTCCCATGGCCTCAATAGCCGTGGCCATGGTATTGGCAGTGTACATGCCGCCGCAGGCGCCGGCACCGGGGCACGCGTGGTGCTCCAGATCGGACAGCACATCGCCGCTCTCGCGGCCGGGCTTGCCGGGATCGGTCTTGGCGTGCAGGCGCCCATACGTATAGGCGCCCGCAGCCTCGTAACAGGTGGAGATGTTGATCTCCTTCTCGAGGAGGTTGGAGTGGCCCTTGCGGATGGTGCCGCCGTAAATCATGATAAAGGGCCTGTTGTGGCGCGCAGCGGCCATGATGACGCCGGGCATATTCTTGTCGCAGCCAGGGATGGATATGTTGGCGTCGTGGTGCTGCGCGCAGGTAACGGATTCGATGGAGTCGGCAATGATTTCACGCGACTGCAAAGAGAATCGCATGCCTGCTCATGTCAGCAACAGTGACAGTTTTCGACATGATCAACGCAATTGCCTACCGTCGCCTCCCATGGTAATGGCATCCGACACGCCAATGGTATTGAACTGCCAACCCAGCATGCCTTGTTTTTCGACGGCACGCTTCACAATCTGGCCGAAGTCGAGTACTATTCAGAACTTTAGCATGCTCGCCACATCTACAATCATACCGTACAGCACATACAGTGTGTGCTAACAAGTACTGGTTAGCGCACCAACTTTTCGCCTTTCGAATCCAAGGTACTTACTTGCACGGGTTGCCCTGCCACCAGACTGTCGCGATACCAACGTGCGGCGCACTCTTCATCGTCTGCTCGTCGGGAACACCGGCGCCATACAGCATGGCCTGCGCGCCGGGAAAGTCGTGCTCTCGCGTGATGCCCGCCGACCAGCGATTGAGCGGGCCACCAGACGGCAGGCAGTTGAACTGGATAAAGTCATTGGAAGACTTGGGATCCCTTTCGGGGACCGGAGCCTTGATGTCAGACATTTGCCACTTTGTACATTCGATGGACCGCGTATCGCAAAAAAAATCCCAAATTCTGGAGTGGTAAATCAGCTTCGCCAACTCGCTGATGCGTTATAGGTATACCGGTATCATTCCGGAGCTTACAAGACCTCTGCACCGCAGACACCTGGTCAAGATGAACTGGAAAAAAAAAAAGAGTGTCCCTTTCACTGTCCCGTCACAATCTGGGTACAATGAAAGGAAAACAGTCGCCCTCTTGTGTGTGGATTTTATAGTTTTCCCCCACGGAGAAGCTCCCCGCACTCGGATTACAGCCATCTCGAGCTGGACGCTATGCAACCACTAACTACAGATACTCTCCACTATGGCGGCCCATCATTTTCGTCAGCTCCAATATCGGCGACGTGACTGGCGGAAAGAACAAATCTCGCTGTAATTTGTTGCCGAAGTTCGCATCTTGGGCGCTGGATCCTTACTGCCGGCAGCATCGTCCCCACAGCGCCACCAGTTCAGCCGCGGTCTTCTGTCCGACGTGATCTTTCAAATAAAGAATGCGCCATCATTTTTTTCACAGAATGTATGCTTTTAAAATTCATTAGTTTGCTTTTGTCCGTCGTTGAAGCGTAGGTTCGGGTCAGGTGGGCACTGCCCAGCTGATTGGGCCCTCGTCACCACCATTCTGGAGGACGCTGGGTCTCAAACATGATCACACGACAGCCACTCTATTGACTTTTATGGTGGAATCAATCGATTTTACAGTTGCTAGCCATTATTACTTGGATCATAGAATATCAAGGCATTTTCAGGTACCTCGCAGTGTATACTGACAGGGATAAGTCAATTTTATTCATCTCGATTCTCATCGTTCGTACTGACTGAATCATCAGCCAATCATCAAATACATCATGTACCAAGCGCCTTGCCAACGATACTCGCTCTATACCCAGAATCAATAACCCAATATCAGCCCTAATGACAGTCACAAAGGCTCATTGCGCAAAACGCAACTTTTAATCATACCGACAAATAAAATGCAGAAAAAGGATAGTGACTCGGTTGCAGTAGACTATTTGCCTAGTCGGCAGAGATGAGCGACGATATTCTAGTCTTGTCACGCGAAGCCATGGCCACGCTTGGACCCATCTTGGGCTCTTCCTTGGGGCTAGCTGGCGGTCCATATGCCGGGCTGCAGCAACGACCGCTCTTCCACGCCTTTTCGAGCGTAGCAGGGGCCAGAGAACAGCCATACTCTGTGGCGACAAGATCCCAAAACTTGTCGCGGTGGGCAGCGTAGACGGAATGAAGGCGGTTGAGGTCCACGTGGGCCGGTGAGTGTATGCAAGTTGACGGCAGGGGGAGGCTGTGGTCCATACGGAGCGACGACGGCGCAGTGGGCAGCGAGTTCTCGCGGCGAAACGAGACTGGGGGCATCTGCGTGTGCGGCTCAGGCATGCATGGAGGGTACCCAAGAGGCGAGCTAGCACGCGAATTGATGCCCATCGAGGCCGGCTTGGGCAGAATGGTGGGTACGCGGGGCGAGCAGCCGTTGGCCATGATGCCGGGGAGCTGGACATCGCTGATCTGCGGAGGCGGCGTCATGGCGAAGCGTCCGTCCATGTGGCGTGCAGGCGAGATGGATCGTGAGATGCGATCATAGTTGGGACTTGGCGTCAGGCTGGGCATGACGGGAGACTGATCGGATCCAGAAGAGCTCGAGGCGGCGCGCTTGCGGCGGCTGCTCCCATGCGAAAGCTGATGGTAGTGCAGGCGGCAGGCCAGCTCAGTCTTGTTGAGATGAGCGGCAATGTGCTTGTACGGCATCTTTTGGAGACGAGTGCGCAGCAGATAGGCCTCCTGGTAGCGTGTTAGTGAAGGGATCTTGGCGGTCGTAGTGCTCACTATGTCAGTCACTTGCCTCGTCCTCTCTCCAAGCACGGCCACCGCCGGTCATGGAGTTCTTCTTGTTCCGTGCATGGGCCGAGACCTCGACGCTGTGGGTAGAAATGGTTTGTGTGCGAGACATGTCGCTAGATGGTAGATGTGGATGAAGAGTTGTGGTGTTGTATGCGGGCGTCGATGCAATGATAAGAGACTGGCAACCAGGCCAAGTTCCGCTCCGATTAATTTGTCACCCCTGGTAGATACCGGTGCTGTTGTAGTCGACTATATTTGGTTTCTATTGGAATAGAATGGTTGTGCCTCGAGCGAAAGCCCTCGTCTGCCGAAAAGAGAGTGAGTTGTTGAGAATTAGTTCCCTATAACTGGGATTGCTTTCAAAAAGTTGCGTATTCGGGGAACGAATGTCTGATGGCCAAGCCAGCTGGTCAACGAGAAAAGGAATGTAAGAAATTGAATAAACTTCAAAGTCGTAAAAAGAAGGATAGGCTCGTAGGCACTTTCAAGGAAGGACTGGTGATACGCAACTGAGAAAGCAAAGGAAAGACAACTGTTTGGCAAGACCACTATGGGTGTGTGTTATATAACAGGGCTCCGATATAGGCTCAAGGGAAATGAAGACCAAAGAACGAGAAAGAAGCCAACAAAGCAGTGTCCGGGCAAGACGACGATGATATAATGACAGAAGGGACCGTGGATCCTAAGCAGGCATATAATGCTATATGCATGCAGAAACAGCTTGGCGGGTTGTGATGTTTGGAGGGGCCACGACCCTGCCAGTTTGCTGCATGCGTCAAGGGGACCCCCCCCTGGTCGACTATGAGATCTAGCCTTGTTACAGGCTGGCCTGGCGGTGCGGGACCATGACATGCTCCTCAATCTTTGACATTGACAGGTCAGTAACCAGTTAGAGGCAAAGAACAAATCGGTCTGGTCTTTGCTATTCTCCAACTTTTAAAAAACCTTGTTTACCCAACTTGTTGTCTTGGTTCCATGGTGAAAACAGACTATATGTCCGGGCCAGTCGGCGCCGAGTTTGAGGTTTTTGGCGGTGGACGGTGACATTTCCACCCGCAATAATACCTAATGACGCGCTGTTTTGCCCCTCCCACGTCTTTTTTTTTTTTTTTTTTTTCTTTTTTGCACCCGTGAACATAATTGCATAATGTTGAAAGGTCATGAGCATATTCGGTCTCGTTTCAATCATGCAAGAATTGCCACAGGCAGGCACCAGCGAATGGGAGAAAAAAAACGGTGCCCGCCTACCCCGCCACCGCCCACAGAGGGTACTCGCCTGTTGGCCACTGACGTCTGCGTTAGGAGTACAGAAGCTGTTTGCCGTGGCAATTCGGCATTGCATCAAATAGGTAATATTAACATTTTGGACTGTCGCCGGCAATCTGACTGGGCACGCTGGGTTACCGACACGGCGCACTGGGTAATGAACACGTCGGGATTAGCTCGATGCGGTACGCCTCAACTGCGTGGTAGCAACGTCCCACCGCTGACCAGCCTTGCCAGTGTATGCAATTGATTAGCATGTATGGAGTAGGCAAACCTGTAGATTGCCGGTGTGTATAGCAACGTGTTCACGGTCAGTCTTTAACTAGCTCCGGCTGTCACAATACCATTGAGGTCCTCTTGGCATCTGATCTACCTCTATTCGCAACAACGGAGGAGGCTGAAGCTAGTGTGGTAGATGAACCTCGTTTTGAATCCACCAAAGCAAGTTTGGCGTTTCGGCCATCGGTGTCGAGTAGCGTCGTCGGTGTCGGTGTCGGTGTCAAGGGGTGGGGGGTCGACGCCAAACTCCCAGCATTCACAACATGGTAATAAAGGGAGCGAAACTCGTTCGTGCCTCATTGTGATATGCTGGCTAGGATTGAGCGCAACAGACACAGGGCGTGCTGTCGTCGATTCCTTTCCAGTAGCATTAAATAACTAGTGGGTGTGCATTTGTTTAGTTTTGATGATGGCCAATGTCGAAACCAGTTGAGGCTGATCTGTTTTGTGGCGCTGTGCCCCATGATGGCGAGCTGATGACAAAGAGTATGTATGAACACATACTGGTTGTCGTCTCTCTTGACTCGCTTTTGACCGCTCTTGCCAATTTCCTTTTTTTCCTGATGTGACAAGTCAAAGATGCGATCCAGGCAAAAGCCCAATGTGGCCGCTATATGGAAACAAGCCACCAGTCTGTGTCTCATGAGTTCTAGTCCACCAGACGCATCAGCTTTGCCGCGTATATTCACCGATTTCACTAGCTTTCCGTGCATTTTCTCTCAAGTTGGTTTTTGTTTGCTTTTTTGTCAACGTAGGACATGAAACCCATGCCTGGCGAAACTCGGGGGTGGCGACGTCTGCGCCACGCAGAGAGGGTACAGTACAGGGATCTTGTCGAGGTTGAAACAGTGCTAAGGCAGCCTGCACATCTCCCCTCACAACCTCAGTATCAGCTGGATCTTGACCAGACAGACGGACCAGTGGGCAACAACAGTACTTACTATCACTGTACCCCCCCTCCCCCCCGTGTCAAGCTCAAATGAAAGGTTGCCGTGGCCATGCGCATGCATGAAATCTGCGCCTCATTTTCACTTCATAGCCAGGAAGATGAGTAGTGATGAGGCCCAACGAGGAATCGAGAGACTTGGAGTTGCGTCCAAGAATTCATCCCTTGACAGAAATTTTGGAGCAGAAATCACAGAGGAAATGTGCGCAGGGACTGGTCAAGGTTCCACACCTGGTTGTCGTTGGCAATCTCGTATTTGCAATGTTGAGACGAAACAGCTTTTTGCAAAGGGCTTTCTGGCAAACTTTGCATTCCATGTTCGCATTGCTGGCAACGCTCCCGCTCCTTGCAGCTTGGCTCATCAATTTCCGTCGTTTCAAGCACGAGGCGTTTTACGGCGCATCATTGCGCTAGACGATGCGATATATTAAATTACCGTCGTTGGTTAGATGAAGCTGGTAGATGCGCATTATCCCTTTGGCAGTGGAGGAGGAGCTCTGATAAGAAGGATATCTGTCGTAGTTGATTGTGGCAATGCAGAGTGGTGAAGGGGGGACACCTGCGTCTTCAGGACCGGTCATGCACGGCGGGCAAGCCTCGACAAGGCAAGCGACGTGTAAAGTGCATCATATTACTTACCATCACTGAGCTAGTTACATTCTAAATCATCCAGTCAACAGTGTCAGTCTCATGATAGAAACGGCGGAGAATTGTGCATGAGCTTGTTTTGCGGAGCTGCGAGGAACCAGACGACGTCAAGCAACAAGGGGTCGGAGGGCATACACGGAAGCGACTTGTGCCGATCGAGGTTCTGTATCGAGTCCTGTTTTGGTGTTTTGTGATCCGCCAGGAGCTCATCCGAGCAGCGCGAGCAGTATGACGTACAGCCCAAGGCAATGCACAGGTACAGGCAGTGTAGTCGCAGCATGTGGGCATCGTTCGTTTGGCATAGAGGGTAGAGAGCAGGGATGCCGTTTCAAGCCGTTTGAGCAACGTTTGGGCCATGTTGCGGTGTGAAGCGGTGGTATAGAGACTCGCAATGTTTGACGAGGCGGATTTCGTGGTATATGGTATGAAAATCGTCGAGCCTTGAGTTGCAGCCGTTGAAGTATCACGCAAGGAAGCTGGATTGTTCCAGGCGTTGGCGTCGCAAACATGGCCATCAGGCGTCCCCTTCGTGCAGCGGCTACCCTACAGCACCTCGAAAGGTTTTACTTTCTACGCCATCGGGCGCCTAATCATTATTGGGGCTTTATTCACCCCATAATAGGATAAAACAATTCAGTAACTGCAATCTCGGGGCAATTCTACACGCTTTTTCTTTTTTTTTGGCCATGTGGGTGGACGCTCGGCAACCGCGTCAGAAGTCAACCAACGCAACCCCCATGGTTTTTAGCAACACTTTGGCGCAGCGTGGCGTGAACTAAGACTGGACGGCAAGATAAAGACGATGTTAGCTTTCACAAATGAGGTTCTATACAAATTGAAGTGAGTTAAGCAATTTGACAAAGATGAGTCACCTCGTACGGGGCGTCCAATGCCTTGAGAAAAGGCTGAACCAGCACCAAGAGTGGCATATTATTATTAGCAGTCACATGTACCACGAGTATACAAAGGAAAAACCCACGACAGCGGACACCAGAAGAATTCTTCTCCTCCCTGGCAAACAGTGTTTCTGCTGAAAGACTGCCTGAAAAGTCACAGTTACTGGCCATATCCTGCCTGAAATGCGACATTATCCCAAGATTGGTTGCATTCCTTGCTGCAGCTGGACTGAACGCTTGCCCTGTCTCTAGTGGAAAGTATGGGCAAGCCCCCGGTGCCATTCAACACAGACATCGAGCATATTGCACGAATCTAGTTTGGAGGGTACTCCTAACTGGCGTCAGTCTAGTGATGCCGCCATCGCTGCTCCAGGCGGCCTGGCTGTTGCAACCGCCAAAGTCGCGCTTGAAGAGTTTGAGCAAAATGTATCCACAAGAATGAGCGTGACAGCGCGGAGAGAAGCGATGGGAGATCTCTTTGTGAGACATGAACGCTGAGGAGTTTGGTTGGAGTGTGCATTGCACAGTGCCTATCCTCGCAATACGTGCCAGCGGCAGCTTGACAGGGTGGAGAGAGTATATAAATATAAGTCTGGGTTGGAGGTGACGCCCTGTAATTGTATAATAATTCAAGAAGGGAATCAGGTATTCCCGATCTTTGTATATGGAAAGCACAATTCGAAAACGTTGCAAATGCTGATTTCAGACGATTTGTGCGTCTTGACGCTTGACAGCCTGCGCCGATTTCTACACCGGTCAAGCAATGTAAATAGCATGTGATTGAAATCAATAATCCATTCGATTATATAGCAATATTTGGTCGTTGAATTTCTATTTTCTTCCAGACTCCATGTATAGAATGAATACAATGCACTGGATGGCCGGTGTGCCGAGACTACATGGCAACAAGAGGATGCGCACTATTATTGTGACTCTCGCGGCCAAGGTGGTCATTTGCGGATGCGAGCGTCGATTCCTTCAAAAGGATCTGAGTAGATTGCCACATGGGCAATCAAGTTGTTTTGTACCTTGACGGGATACAATTTCGGAAGCATCCGACAGACCCAAGGTACACAGACATCAAGTAGCGGACGCTTGGGAGATGGGTGGGGACGATCATGGCGAACCGTTGGGGTTCTGTTTGGCATGGTGTGCCAATCTCGGATTGCAAAGAAAAGTATCAGATACATGACAAGTCGACCAAGTTGGGCTGAGGACAAAGTGCCTACAACAAGAGGTTGTCTTTTGCAGACGAGGTACAGATATTCGCGCATAGCGATCCGACTAGGCACGTCGGGCATGAATCGGGGTTTGGTAACGGATACGGCTTGCTGCTACAGAGCGGAAGTGGTTACAGCTTGGTCGAGGTTTGTCAATAAGTATGCTGCGGACACGGGCGGGACTATTGTACAATGAAAAGATAGCAGAGGTGGTGGTTAAAGTGGTCGCAGAAGTGGCAGCGAAGTGGCAGCGCAGTGAGTGGTAACAAGGTACGGGAATTCCGCGCCGCGATTCATGTAGTGTCAACCTGGGAGGGGATCAACGCCGTAGGACATTGCGTTGGTGATAGGTACGGATGCGGATAGCTGGGTGTGGCTAGTTGGCTAGGTAGGGACCCTGAATTTCTTATTGGGGCGATTGGGTACGAATCAATCGATGTTGGGCTAAATAGATCTGTTGATTGAGTCTGGGCACGTATGTATTTAGACGTTGAAAAGGGCGGTAGGCTAGACAAGAAAACGGACAATCAAGGCTGATGCGAAGCTAGAGTTAATGGCGGATAGTAAATAGGTCGATGAGAACGGAGCCGATTAAAGAGCGAGGGAAATTGAGGACAAGAGAAGAAGCCATGGCTATTGGCAGGCCATTCGTGGACTATTGGATGATGGGATGATGAGTAGGTAGTTAGTGGCTGGTAGTGGCTGGTAGTGGTGGCGCTGCAACGAAAGTACCGAATACGGACATGGTACCAGCAGAGGGGGCCAATTTGGTCTGAGCGCCGTTTTTGGTTGACGCAGAATTCTGTCACGTAGAAACACTGTGAGGATGGGGCGTAAAATGCATGTGAGATACAGTGCAGATCCACAGTGTTTGTAAACGCCAGCCACGCAGGCCCCACCCTTGGTCGAGGGAGAGCACGAGTACCTTTGCAGTCCCCCCGACCTCTTGGGCTGTACCTCACCATCTCTCTTCTACCTCTTTTTCCTTTCTGCTCGTCTCTGCCACGCCACGGCTGTCAAGCAGGTGTCGACTGTTCTCTGCTCTCACCGTTTTGTCCAAGTCCAGTGACCTTGCCAGCATTCAGGCTAGGCGGTAACCCCCCAAAAGCCTTGCCCAAGTGACTTGTGTTTCAAGTACCTCTTTTACTTCCTCCACCATCCCGCCCATCCTTGACTGTACTCTCAGTGCTTCTTCGGTTGCCTCCACCCGCTGCTGCCGGCGTCCTGACATCAGACCTATTCTGAGGTCCCGCTGACTGCCTTGTATCCGCGACAGCAAACGAGTCGCAGGACGAGAAACAAAAAGACCAAAACAAAAAAAAAAAAGAGGAAAATAGAGCTTCGTCGAGCACCGTGTTGTATCGCTCACTACAAGGTATGCACATATCCAGTGCGCGCTTTTTTTTCCCTCCAGCCTTCAGTTCTTTGTCTCCTGCTCTCTCCTGTCTCCCCTTCCCGACTTGGCTGTGTTCGTGTCATGGTCGTGTCTGGCGACGCCCACGCCCACGCCCCCAGCCACCTTTGCAGGTGCCGCGCCACGCTTTCCTCTGGACCACTGACTTCGCGCCTCCAGGCTAGAACCACCATCACTGACACACGCTCTGCAGTACATTTTCATTGCTCAAATTGGCACCCGATCAGCATCGGTCAGCATCGGATCACAAAAGCAACAGCGACTTGACCAAGAAGCGGAAAGCAGAGGGTAGAAAGTCGACAGTACGTTGGCGCATTCGGCATCCCAAACTATTGCGCTGCGCTATCTCGCCATTCTCAGCCAAACAGCTTCCCTGCCTCCCGTTTTCGTCCCCTTGGCTGGCCGGCCTACCCCAATCCAAAGCCCAAGCCCAAGCAAAAGAAAAAAAAAACCGCTACCATCACAAGTGCGCGGCAAAGGCTCCGCCACCACTACAAAGCCAATACTTGCCGCTCCTCAGTCAAAAAGGAAGCTTGCGGTTTCTACAGATTACCTAACAGCGCCCTCTTCTCGCTAGCTCTTGTCCTAGCGGCTCAAAGGCGCTCGAGTGTCCAAGAGCTCCTCTCCGGCTTTTCCCCAGCCACCAGCCGCCACGGCCCCGTCGCGCATCGCCACGCCTTGCCTAGCACCCTCGTCATCTCGCTTGGCTCTTGCTTTCTGACCAGAACCCGCCCACAAGTATCCTGCCGTACCGTGGCCCCGGCTTCCGTATCTCTTCCGGTTGTCACCCTTTACTCAACCAGCTTTATCATCAATACTCATACCATGTAAGTCTTTATTGTGCACTTTGCAGACATTTATCCCTTCGCCCGGCCTGCCGACTTCTGCGCCGTTGTGCTTCCTCCACGCGCTCCAACCCCTTGCTTCCAATTTCGTCGCGCGCGCGCCCCACGACTTCAATCAAAAGCGCTCCCGCATCCCAACGACGCCAGGAACCATTGCGCACCAGCAAACTCCCTTCGGCCGGTCACATCTCTATCGTTTTGTACGACTCTTTTCCACGTCCTGATTACAACGCTTTTGCTGCCATTGCCTTTCCGACTCGACCACGACGCCCTGTCGCGCGCCCCCGCGCCTCAACAGGCTTTTGCGCCTGTCCTCCAGTCGCATTCTCAATTCGGTCGTCGCATCGCAGCAACGTCGCAAAAAAGGAACAAAAAGAGGCCTAAAACAGAGCGCAATTACACCCTACCGCATAGTGCGCATCGTGCACACGGACGTTGGTGTTGCGTCTTGTGCAATCATCTTGTCTATCTGCTACAACTGCCCCGCTGAGCATCACGACGCACGCGCGCCCTTACACTGCATTGCTTTGGCGTCCACCGCGCATCAACTTCCACTGCATCTGTGTCTGCCTCTGAGAACTCTCTGCTGACACGCCTCTCTGACAGCCGTCAATATGGAGCAGTGGCAAGTCGGCCCCGTGCCCGAGTATGTCTACTCAAACTCCACCCACCCGCCTAATACCATGCAGTAAGTTGCGCGTGTCCTCCCCCCAAGATATCTTTCTTTAGCCTTCTCGTCTACTGCGTATGCTTCCCTTGACCGGCCCCAACCTGCTTGTTTCCCTTCGGCAAACATGCAGCTGTTGTCGTGCCCTTCTGCCCACTTGCTGTCCTACGCCAGCTCCACGCTGTCCGTATCACCGGAGTGCCTTGGACATGCGCTTCTAAGATGAGGGCTTGCCTATTTGTTGGGCCGGCCCAGGCACAGTCTCAGCCTTGATGATGGAATGCAGCCCTCTCTTGCCGTTACATATACATCTCGCTGTGCTTGTCATGTCCTGTGGCCGCGTCAAGTCTCTACCTTTTGTTTACTACACTCGAGCTAACCTCCCGGCTGCTTCGACAGCAACAACCCCTACCAGACCGCCGACATGGCCGCCAGGCGAAATGAGCGCATCGATTTCCCCTATCCTCCGCAGCCCGGCATGGCGCCGCACCCGCAGCAGCATCCGGCTCCCGGTCAGCCCCCGATGAACGTACCCCAACCCCAGCCGCCCTCGGGCCCAGGCTCTCAGCAGCAGACCCCAACTCCTACGCCGCAGCCCAGTCGCCCAAACAAACGCCGAGCTCCCAACACGGCGCCTTCGCCTGCTACCCCGGCGGCGGTCCCCGCCGCTACCCCAGGTCAGGCTCCTGTCCCAACGCCTCCCAATGCGCAGTCTGTTCCGCCCCCTGCCGCCCCGGCCCCCGTCGACGACAGCAACGCCACGCCTACACAACCGCCTGCCAAGAAGAGCAGGACCAACACGCCTTGGACACCCGCAGAGGAGCAGCGTCTCAAGCAGATGCGCGATGCTGGGAATAGCTGGGCAGAGATTGCGAAGGTAAGTTGTGGTACTTGAGGCCTCATTTCTGTTTTTCGCTCTTGCTAAAAGGCTCCTAGACTTTCCCAACGAGAACAGAAGGCTCCGTAAAAAAGCATTGGTACAAGGTTTGTTTCTACCTCATCCCCGCCTCAAGACGCATGACTTACGTTGATATGCTCAGGATATGCACTACGCCGAATTTGCTGAAGATGAAAGCCAGGCGCTTCTCAACGCAATCAAAGACTACGAAAACAACAAGTGGAAGGTTATTGGCCAGAAGGTCGGCAAACCCGCCAAGGCCTGTGAGCAATACGCAAAGGAACATTTTCCCGACCTTTTTGCCAGCACCAAGCGATAAGCTGCGCGATTGGCGGGGGCGGCGTGTTTCACATGCGAGCTGCGTGTTTTCGTCATGTCTAATCTGCTACGCTGCGGCCAAGCTTGCACTACTTGACAATTTCCTTTTTTTAACTAATACTTGTCGGTGATGAGCATTTCACTCATCCTCGATGAGCGCAGAACAGAATGACACCGAATTCTCTGCACGTCGTTTCTTGTTTTGTGGGATGAAGGGACTGGCTTCCAAGATTGGTTTCGTCCGCTCGTGCGGCAATATTTATTAATATCTAGTCCCGGGGAGTCATTGTCTGTTTTGCCGATTTAGATTTGTGTGTTTCGGTGTATCTTTGTACGACACGAACTGGACTTTGAACTGAGATGGGTGGTAATTCAGCAGTTGGCGGGTGGGCTCACTGCGGCGGGTATTCTTTCGATTTCATTTGTTGCCTGGAGGAGACTGACCATGGGTATAAAAGTAATGGCAACTGCTGTTGCTGTACAGGAGATTCGATACGTTTCGAAAGGTGCGAATTGTCGACTGGTCTGTTTGAGAAGGATGATACCTTTAGTTATACCCCAACACAATGCCGAGCTTTTCTTTTTTTCAATCCAATATAACCGAATTCAATCTTTTGTCAGATTGGATGAAAAAGGCAATTGTCGAATTTCGTACCAAGATGTAAAGTGAATCGAGTAGGGAACAGCGCAAAACGTGATGCTGTGAAAAAAGATGATTTTAACTTGCGATAACGAGATGATTATACTGTGAAAACTAATGTGATTTGATACCGAGATAAAGCCTACTGTGAAGAGCGATGTTGTTCTTTCTACGGATTACAATACCAGGATAAAGAAGAGCGACAACGTTGCATAAATAAAGGTCGCTCGTGGCGTCAGTCGGCCCCACAGCCGTCGTTTTCGCCGCGCGGGGACTGCCAAAATTTGGCCGTCTTCTCCACAGGCCGCCACCACATTTCGCCGAATTACCAGTCGACATAACTCGCCGGTTTCCCCCTTTCTTTGTATTCGTGTGCTTGCATCTTTTTGCCGAGCGTCGAATTTAACTTGTTTAATCCCTATCTGAACGGGTATAACGTTGTTTTGTGCAAACCTCAATCGCGTTGTGCGACCAAGTCTTTCGCCGACTGGGAATAAGTGAATTTGGGCTTCTCTCTTGGAGCACCTTGGGCAAACTCCCGCCCAAAAGCCAAAGAAGAAAGGATAATTCAAAAAAGAAAAAAAAAAAGCGAAAAGGAAAACGGCAAGAGCAGAGTGCAAATGTCGTCACCTGCTACAATAGGTACAGCGACGCGGCAATACCGATGCCAGAAACGACAAAAACCATGCGACCACTGTCGCGAGCGCAAGCTCAAATGCCAGATGGACGGCGGCAGCACCAACCGCAGTAGTAGTGGCGGCCGGCCGCCCTGTCAGCGCTGCGCACGGAGCAACATCCCCTGCACTTTTGTCGGCCGGCCGCGGCGAAGGACATCAGCCATGCCGGCGGCCGCTGCTGCTGCTGCTGCTGCTGCAACTCTCGTCCCCGATGCGCCGGCCGCGCCCACCACCGGCACCGCGGCAGAGGCTGCCGCTGCCGAGCTCGACTCCTCGTCTGCCCTGTCGCACGCAAGCCTGCATGACGGCATGACGGCGTCTGCGCCGCTCTGCTACCGCGAGACTAGCCACATGGCCATGCCGTCGACGTGCGACATGGACGCGGGCACCATCCCGGCATCGTCGGCGGCCCCGGCCCTCAACACGCCGACGTCGTCGTCGTATCACGCCAGCAGCAGCGGCCGCCTGTCGACGCAGCTGAGTCAGAGCATGGACGGCATTGACGGGCACAGTATCATGCTGCTCGGCGCGTCGTCCGAGTCGGATCCGTGGCTGCTCAGGCACTGCCATTTCGATCAGTTGGGTCTGCGGTCGGTGCACAAGATGTACTTTCGCAACGCGGGGGGCGTGCCAACCACGGACAAGATTCCGATTCACTTCATTGTTAGCGACAACAAGTACCTCAACCATCCACTCCTCCCCATGTACCACAGTATTGGAGGGGATGCACGGCTTCAGTTAAATCAGCTAGTGCAGCCCATGTATGGCGTTCGACTTATAAGTTTGCAAGTGTCCCCCACGTCCTCCACGGCAGCCCTCCAGCTAACATGTATAGATTCCGCAAGCATGTATATCCAACCCTCCCGGTTGTTCCCAATGCATACATGGATATTCCCCTTAGCACCGGTGCCACGTCTCCTGTCATGAGCACCGCTCTTGACTCCATCCCCACAGCCGTGCTCGCCGCCATGTACGGCCTTGCCATGCCCTTTGCCCTCAACGACGAGCTGCTCGCTGTCGTCAACGCCTTTGAAACGCCGCCTCTACTTCAGCTCTGGACGCTCGTTCACGCACTCATCCAGGCCGACATCCACCGCCCCTCCCTCTCTACCGTGCAGGCTGCCCTGCTCTTCCTGCACAAGGACAGCAACAGTCACACGTCATCCAACAGCAGCGGCGGCAACGACCTGTCCAGCTCGGCCTTTTTATGGTCTTTTATCGGCAGCACCGTCGGCATGGCGCACAGTCTGGGTCTGCAGATTGAGTGCCAAATGTTTGGCATCCCCAACGCGGACAAGCGCCTGCGCCGCCGTCTGTGGTGGGCACTGTATATTGAGGAAAAGTGGCAGAGCCTGCTCATGGGTCGGCCGCCATATATCCGCGCGGATGAGTGGGATGTTGGCGAGCTAGTTGATAGGGATTTCGAGATGAAGACGACGTCCTCGTATTTTGACGAGGCGGCGGCGGTAGTTGGATGGACATTTCTGCCGTTTCGCGACATGGCACGGCTGGCCGTCATAGTCGCCGATGTACAAGAGAAATTGTAGTAAGTCAGCCTCTTACCTCTTTCAGTCATCTCACGCAAAATATCTAATCAGGTAACACAGCTCACTTCGGGCTTGCCAAAAGCTCGCCGAAGATCTCGCACTGAGTATATCCACTGCGAAGCCTTTATTTGATCGCCTCAACGATTGGCGGTCTTCCATCAACGCCCCCGAGCCCTTTTACGACAACATTGCCGGCACCAGCCCGTACCCGACGACCATGTATTTTGCCTACCTTACCATTGTCACATATGTGTGGCGCGCGCTGCTACGGCCTACCGTGCGCTCATCGCCGCCGCCGAGGATCATTGACGTGGAGGAAGAGCCGCCGTTGCAGGACGCGGGCGGGTTCTTTTTCGAGGAGCTGAGCTGGGATTTCTCCGACTTGCCAGAGATTGAGCTGCACTTGGAGGAGGACATCCACGCCCATGGGGAGGCCAGTGCTACGATTAAAGAGCTGCACCAAGCCGCGCAAGCCTATGGTGGGACTGTGGCGACGTTTACTTCGCGGTTGACGTCGCGCCACTTTGACGAATTTTGGTACTCGTGTAAGTCGGACTATATTTCCGATCCCTGGTAGTTCAATATCTGTTTGACTTTCTTGGCACATTTCGGCATTGAGATGATAACTAATCGTACCTGTGGGTAATCAGGGTCCCGGATTGGCTTTGCCGTCATATCCAACTTTCTGACTGTGCTGCTGGTCCAAGCACCGACCGCCGAAAACACACCGCGCGCCAAATGGATGCTCGAGAGCTGGCGCCAGACGCTGCGCTATCAGAGCAAGGCCTTTCCCATATTGCGTCTGGCCATGGCTCGGCTGAATGCCTTTTACTGGGGTGGATTGGCCGAGACGTTTTGTCTACCGCCCCATGTCCAAGAAGTTGTAGCATAAGTAGTACGTACACTCGGCTAGAACGAGGACATGTGCAAATGAAAGAAAAAAATCGGCGATGCATATTGCAAGCCCGGCGAAAATATAGTTTTCGACCAAGATAACACATCAAGAAGCCGATAGAGATTAACTTGAGCCTAGTGCGCTTAGCTTGCTGATAGACCCGTGGTTGCAAAGCTTGGCAGCCGACTCGGCGAATCGTGAGCTGAATAGTAGCCACTTATAATAATTAGATAACAGGTTCGCCTTGATGCGCCAAACGAGTCAGGCGATATAAGCTCGAGTGCCCCCTTTTTGCCAACTTTTGATTCTTTTGAAGAAGGCCAAAAAAGTTGAGAAAAAGAGACTTTTTATTCCCGAAAACGACATTCAATTCAAGAACAATCTTGTGAGCAAACCAAGGATTATACCACACACGACTGGTGACTAGCCAATTCGGAACCCTGTACGGATTACAGAGTACGGAATTGTCAAACGAGGATCCCCACGCCAACAGCTGCAGGGGCAACCTGAGATGAGCACCGCCAATCAGCAACTCTTCAACGTCCACACCTGGCACGACCTCGAGGACGCGTCGCCGCCGCCGTATGAAAAGAAGGAGCGTCTGCCGCCGTCATATCACGAACTCAAGCGCGCCGATCGTCATGCGGCGACCGGATGGAAAGGCTCCCTGCGTCGCATGTTTCCCGTCGAGCGACGCTTCGAGACCGTTACGCTAGGCAAGTCACTGCCAAGCGCCCGACGCACCACTGCCACAGGTACGGAACCCCATATATGAAGCGAGCTGAACTTTTGACAAAACATTGTACGTTGGACGCTGACATGAGTTGTAGGAATAGGGTCAGTGGTTGTGTGTTTCGGATCTTGTTGTCGATGAGAGGCCAGTTATAGTTACTCGATGGCACAATCAAGAGCTACATTTGCATTTTATAGGAGCGATGACTACTGGGGCGTTATCAGGTCGACATTTTTGATTTCATCTAATTAAATAGGATTTAGGCAATGATTTCCCGCCAAGCCGAGGCACGTGTGCGACCGAGCGAAGCACCGCCTAAATAGACTGAACCGTTGACATTTTATATCGGATCGAGTACGGATTAGCTTATACACAAAAACCCCCATTTCATCCGCCACAGTCAACAAAACATGAGAACCAGGATTATGCTTCACTCTTGTCACCACAGGCAAACCACATGAATGCCAAAAGGTGCCATGGTGTCTTTGAACAAGGTCGCCCGTCACAGCGTCACCTGCCCAAGCCTTTTATTTCATTAGCGTATGCTCTAGGCCAGCCACTTTGTGCTGGGCTGAATTGCAGTGGGGAGTTCTGCTTCGCGATTCTTCCCAAACAAGATGTCCTTGTGCGCCTGGCGGAGATGCTTTGCTTGGGGAAGGGCGGACGCTTCTCAAAGAGATACAAAGAATGCGCTGCAAATCTTGAACCCAGGCATTAAAGGTGCACGCAAGGTCAATTCATTTTTTTTTCTTTGTGCAACTTGACCATGGCCGTTCACGTCAAGATGCAGGGTCCAGCCTGTACAACCAGCAACAAGCTGAAGGCTACTCTGGCATCCACAGGGCTGAACGGAGGGGAAAAGTCTGGAATGGGGTCTACCAAAACGAGATGCTGTTGAGCTGAGCGTCCCCTTTCATTAGCGCTTTGAATCCATGAAGCGAGACCGTTGGGAAAACGAATAAGAACCTAGGGCGGCCGCCGCATAGGGCGCTGCCCCTGCGTCGCAACTCTTTTTCGGTTTCGACTTAGACAGACCTCGACAACAACTCACAATGGGCTCCGGGACATTGTATGCGGCCGCAGCAGCGGTGCTGACCGCTGCCGTCAGAGTTCGCGGCGACGTTCCTTTTATGACAGAACTAGAAATCTTTAGCCAACTCGTGAGGCAAAATCTCGTCCCAAGCATTACGAACTCAAACCCCCAAACTAACCAAAATCCCCAAAAAAGGCCCCATGCGTCACCTCGGCCGTCACCAACGCCTATCTGTGGGAGCAGGACACAACGGCATGCGGCTCCGAGCCGACCAAGCTGCAGTCATGCATCTGCACCAACTCGGCCGAGCTCAACAAGATGACCCAGTCCATCAGCAGTGCCGTCTCCTCGCGGTGCGGCAAGCAAGCCGACGACGACCAGGCCTCGGCCTCCCGCCTGGTCGACAAGTACTGTCACGCAGACAAGACTATTAGCTTTGCGACGCCGACGTCCAACATCATCCCGGGCGTCATGAGCGATGTCGCCGCTATTTCATCCCTGCCGCCGTGTGTCCAGTCCGGGCTGTCCGCCGCCGTCAACGCTGCTGTACGTAAAACAAAAAAAAAGAAGAAAAAAAAAGAGAAAAACAGAACCCCACGAACTTAAGCGCGTGCTTGAGATGGGTGTGTGCTAACCGTCATCTGTGATGCAGGCCAACGAAGGCTGTCCAACAGTTGCGAACATGTGGGCGCCCTGCGCGTGCAGCAAGAAGAATGTTGTCGATCAAATCAATGCCAGTATCGGCCAGGAAGTGCGCAAGTCGTGCTCCAATGCCGACGACGTGACCCTGGCATCCAGCTTTTTCACGCAATTTTGCGCCATGAACGAGGGAACAACCTCATTCGGTGCCATGCCTGGTCCTCCTGGAGATAGTGAGTTTAAGAGTCTGGTGCCATCGTTGCCAACGCAAAACTTCTAATGTTGTACAAAGTGTCTTACTACATTACCGCTTTACCTCAATTCTCTTCGTTGCGCGCCTGCGCCCAAACCGGCATCGTCGAAGCTGTCATGTCGGTGAGAACTATATATACGTACATATGGGATTCATTACTCATTATCATCTCAACCAGCAATCTACATATCTATGTGCCGCCGGTCCGCAAGCCCTCGCCTCTTGCGTCTGCTTGAAACCCGGTATCCTTGGCAAGGCCTCTCAAGTGCTCACCAGCAGCGTCAAGTACAACTGCGACAACACCGCCCTCGCCGACGTCTCTTCCGCCGCCAGTGTTCTCGACTACTACTGTCAGGCCGCACAAAACAAAGCCGTCGCCACCGTGAGCCAATCCATTTCCGAAACCAAAGCGGCGAGCACGCGCCCAACATTGGGTGGAAGTGGTACGCCACAAAAGACGGGCACTGCCAACGGTGGCGGTGGCGAGTCGACAGACTCGAAATCAGGTGGCAGTGGCAGCGGCAGCGGCAGCGGAGGAGGCCTCAGTAAAGGTGCTATTATTGCCATTGCGGTTCTGGGCGCCCTGGTTGTCATTGGCTTGCTCGCCTTCATCGCCATCTTCATCCGCCGCCGCAACCGCAAAGCCAAAGCTGCCGAGTCGGCGGATATCGTCACGGGACAGGCACCGTACCCTCCCAAGTCGGAGTTGGCTGCCAACTCGCCATCGTCGGAGATGGATGGAAAGTGGCCCTTTGCGGCGCCGGCCGTCTCCGAGGTGGCCGCGACGGCTAGCCCGTTCCATCACAGCCCGCACGTCGAGCTTTCGGGCACACCGCAGCCTCAGATACACCAGACAGTCTCACCGAGCGAGCTGAGTAGTCCAGAATCACAACTCGCGCCGGGGCATAACAGCCCACATCACCCGAGGCAGAACTGGGAGCCACCTGCTCAAGCCATGTACGAGCTAGATTCGTCCAATACTGCCCCTCATGCAAGATAGAATGCGCTTTACAAGAGACGGGAGTCTGTATACTACTTAGCGTTGAATGGTAATTTGTTTGCCAAAGATTTATCTCCATGAGTAATAGTTTTACATCTTGGATCCGAGAGGGATTCTCTGACCGAATGGTGCAAAGTCGGGGAGCTCCTTGTCCCAGACCAGGCGACAATCCCATTTGGCGCGCTCTTTGCTCTCGTCGAACCTGGCTCCGGCCGCCGGTACGCCTACATCAGGGAGTAGCCATTCTCGGAAGCCACCCTCGCCGTTGAGAATCGACCGACGAGCCACCTCATCCGCATGGCCATCATTATCTCGCTGCACATCCCACGCGAGGAGAAGTCCGACGACAATCCATGAGAAACTAAACATGACGCTTCGGCCCACAGACAAGACGTCAAAGATGTAGTCTTTGTTCTTGTGCAGGCGACTGTGCAAGTTGTGCCATGAGGCTTCTAACGCGTCACGATATTCCTGATTCTCGACGCCCGCGATAGCCTTGGACAGCCAGGCATTCATGTGCTCCAAGTGGTTTCGGTTGAGTACGTGGCGCACAAACTCGCTGCTGAGGACATTAGTTGTACCCTCCCAGATGGCATTGACAGCAATGTCGCGGAGAGCGCGCGCCACATTCTCCGGCTCATCGGGATCATCCATATAGCCGACGCCGCCCAGTGCCTCCATGCACTCCTGCATAGTGATGACTGCATTCTTGCTCGTCACCGCTTTCGCCGCAGCCGTCAAAGCTCGCAAAACCACCATGGCCTCTTCGCCAGAGCTAGGCAGCAGCGGACCTTTGCTGCTGCTGCTGCTGCTGGATTCCGGAAAGCCATTCTCCGTAAAGCTCATCAGGGAGATGGTGAAGAAGCTCAGCTGCATGAAGCCGCGGATACGCACTTCAATGTCGGCCAGAGTGCGCAGATGCAAGGGTAAAGCCCAGAGCGGGTAGCCAAACACGGTCCGGTTGACGGCGAATTGCTTGGAAATGGCGAGACCGCGGCGCATCGCCGCCACCGAGGACATAAAGGCCCACGAGCGCGTCACATTCAGCAGATGCGAAATGGTGGCGACGCCGCGGTCCACAGAGCCGACCAGGTGCGCGCGCATGTCCTTGAGCTCCAGCTCCGCGGTCGGCAGCTGCTTGGTGCCCAGCTTCTTCTTGAGACGATGGATGCGCACGCCATTCGTCACCACCCTTGCGCTGCCGTCCTCTGCCACGACCGTCTTGGTCAGCGGTGCCAGAAAGGCGCTGAGCTTGCCGCTCTCCGTCTTGGCCAGGAGCATGGTGACGTCGGCGTCGGTGGCTGAGGAGAAGAACTTGAAGCCGGACACGAGGTAGTCGCCCTCGTCCAGCCGGCCGTGCTCGCCAGCAGTCTTGCTCGTCAAGGGCGCATATCGCGCCCACGTCTCGGTGTTTTGGACGTCGCTGCCACCGGGACGCTCCGTCATCCATTGACCAGAGGTCCAGCTGTCGGTGCGCGCCGTCAGCCGCTCGTAGGTCTCGTGAAATGGATGAGATGGGGGTAGTTGGGGAAGCTGTGAGCGAAGCAGATGGGCTGTGCCGTCAGTCATGGAAAGAGGGCAGCCTGTGAGACCAGACACGGGCGAGAAGAGGTAATTTCTACATTTTTTTTGTCAGTCGATTTAATTTTATAGTCCTCTGAAATCGGAATAGAACAGACTTTGCATGTTGAACTAATCGATTGTATTTGCCGTATCGAGTCTCATAGCCAATGGCGACAGTGCTGCGACAGGTGTTAGTGAGAGTTCCATACCCAGGGCCGAAGTCCAGGCAACGAACCCTTCTTCTGCGCCCCATTTACGTAGAGCTCTCCAGCCTTCGCTGGTTACAAGTCTGTCGACATCGTGGCGAGCACCCCAGACGTTGTACTTTTCCACAAAGGGCTGCTGTCTCTCTGCGTTGAGGTTCCATTCCTTGACCTGCGACGAGATGGTGTCTTGCGCGAATTGGGTAAAGCAGGGTGTAACCTCGGCTAGCATGTCTTTGGGCAAGTAAGCAGCAAGAACGCGTTGGAAATAAGGGTCCGCGACAAAAGGGTTCTCTGCCTGAGACATGGTAAAGATGAAGCCGGCCTCGGCGTTGGCCGGGGGTGGTTGTCCGTGTCCTTCCATGGTAAGGGTTTCGTCGAAAGTCAGTAAAGTACAAATGCAAAAGTCGACATGTATTTTGCGTGTAATTACCACTTTGCGGTTTAGGAGACAGTTTAGATGTTTAAGCCGCGGATTAATGTAGAAAATATCCGGCTATATAATGTATTGAGGAGTAGTGAATGCCGAGGCCCCCCAATGCCCCAACGCGGGGAAGCTAGCCCTGTCGCAGTCCATCATGTCCGCAGACATCTTTTAGGGTCAAAAGTGCTCGAAAAGCAATCAGTGAGTCCTCTGAACTTCCGAAATATCATCATGGACCTTTGAATTCAGTTGCAATTTACTATCCAGTTTACTCAGTTCAACCGCAATAAGCCTTGTTCCAGTCAAACTCGACGTCTTGGTAATCTTCAAACTTAAACGACGACTCTCGCCCCAAGTCCTCTCGCAGCTGATTCACTCCAATCGACAGGGTAATATTCACATCCTTTAGCTTGGAGCCATCGACTTGTCCGCCATCCTGAAAGACTGCGACCCATTTCAGGTTCTTGGTCAAGTAATTCTTGGCCTCGTCTCGCTCCTCGCGCTTCTGACTCGGCACCACGCGCGTAATGGGAATCTGCGCACGCGACAAGACGTGAGCTTTTTGTTGTTCGTAGCAGTTGCTGCAGACAACATTGTCTTGCGTGACAATTGGAGTGAATGTGTAGATGCTGCCAATGAGACACGTTTGCTTCTTCCACGACACCGTCCTGTCGACGTCTCCGAGGAAGAAGAGCAAAAAGTATGCCCGACCATTGAATGCATATCTAAAGAACTCAGTACCTGGCGTAGAGAAATTGTAATGAATGGTAAAGGCGAGTCAAACTCAAACGTACCGGTCATAAACGACATTGATGACAGGATCCAACTCCCTTCTGCAATCTTTAAAGGCGTTTTCTGGTGGGCCGTACAGCTTATTGATGTAAAGATGACTCTTTTCCGGAATCATGTCCCCGTACTCATCAGTAATCTCATCCATGTAGTCGTAGCTGTAATTCAGTGCGTCAACATTCCGAACCTTGTTAGAATCGTAAAAGTCACCTCGATCCCCGGAAATATGGAAAGGAATAAGAGGCTGCTGGGGGCTTCTGTCCGGCTGTCTCCCTTTCTTCTGATGGAACCAATTTCCTGGATTGGCGCTTTGCCACAGGTGAAGAAGTCGGTCGATATTGCAGTGATGTAGCCAGAAGACGGGGTCGAATGCAGCCACGGGCACTGAGAACATGTGACCATAAGGACCTTCGTCGTCGCCGCCAACGAGCCACTTTCAACGAATTAGCATCATCTTGTCCCTAGCGAAACTGAGGGCATCACAAGGACTACAACTCACGTGTATGTTGTTGTGAAGATGCTCTAGATTCATGTACGATTTGATCATCTTGTCTCCCGCCGGATTCTGTTCCTTTTTCTTTTTTGTTTTCACGTCGGGGTCATCCTCATA